GGTTGCAGCCATCCTTGTTGTTTGGCGGGTCCGGGCTGGGGATTCGAACCCGCCACCTTAGGTGTATGTGGCTGGTGCCTTAGCCGCTTGAGCCGGAACTTTCTTACTAGGGATTTGAGGATCTATAAAGAAGTTATGATGGATTCTGGATATGATGTCATTCTGGTTATTGAGATAATTAGGAATGGAGGGAAGTTGATAATAAATTGCATAATTATGATTTTTGGAATTGAGAAGAATAACATTTAAGATAATGACCAATCAAGAAATAAATTTGATGTTGTCTAAGTCAAGTGAGCTGTTATTTTCTTGTTAATTAGATCCACTTTTCCTATTAAAAAATTTAGTGAATTTAGGAGATTGATAATCCCAAGTGGAGTTCAGATTTCTCTTTTGCCTGTTAACAATGTATCACTTATCCCTAGATTTAAAAGTTTGAAAGGGGTGGGAGTATAAGAACAAGAATAAAAAATGATCATACCCACTTTTACTTAAAAGTATTCTTTTTTTCTTGTTTATTTTGCTTAAAACAATTTTAACCTTTTGAAGTTAAAATGAGAAATTTGATAACTCAAAGACCCTGAATTCGAATATGATTATTAGAGAAGAGTGGAAAAAGTAAGGGGGCAGGGATTTTATTTTTTCATTTCTAAATTAGAAGTTTAAATTGTTCTATCAGAATGTTAAATTCTCAAAAGTGTATCATTTTTACAGATTAGAAAAACAGTGATTTATTAATCTTATGAGCCCATATTGTAATGTACGGTTTTTAAAAAAATCTATTGCTGTGCTCACATTTTTATGGTATTTGAAAATTTTTTTTGTTTTTGATGAGAGGAAATGTGTAAGTTTTGGCTGGACCTAGTTTTTTTGTTTTAAAAAACTTCCCATGACGTTTTGAGGATTCTTGACTGAGATACTCCATATATTTGACATTTAAGAGAAGAAGAAGAGGTGGCATCCTTTTGAGAAGAGTATTAACTTTTAATTTTTGTGATGCAGAATTTTACCTGGTGACTAATTAATAACTTGATGTGTCAACTTAATCTCTTTAGAGTTGAAAGAAAGTCTCTCTCGTATGGGATCTGATTTGAAGCAGGGTTTCATTAGTTCTCTGAAAAGTGCCTGGCAGACATTAAACGAATTTGCCCGCGCTCATACGTCTTCAACTCAGTTGCAAGAAGAATTAGAGAAGGTGGCCAATCAAATCAAAGAAGAGGAGGAAAAGCAAGTAGTTGAAGGTAAATTTGTCATTTGAGGCATTTTCCAATACAAATATTGTTTATAAACATAACACTTAAAAGTTTCTGGTCATTATTAAATTGTAAAAGCTTTTCCTATAAAGGAGAATCTGTCATGATAAACTGTACTGTCACTTGTATTACTTCAAAATATATGTCATCTTTCTTTTTTTTATTTTTTACTAGGTTTTTACCTAATAGTGACTAAACTTTTTTGTCTGCAATTTACAAATGTTGTTGAGATTTGTAAGGCCAGAGTGAAATAGCAGAGTTGATAACTCAGGTTGTGTTCAGGCATTTTGAGGACTCAAATTGTGAGAAGTTACTTTTCTGATACTGTTGCTTACCTGTGTCCTTACAGACTTCATATGCAATATGCAATGTCAGGTCATTATGCCGTGATGTTTTTGACTTTTTCAGATTCTAATTCTATTTCCTTTCTTTCTGCAATGCTCTCTGACCCTTATCTTCACAACTTCTGTCAGCTGTTGGCTTTTTCTCCTCTCTCTGGGGTAACCAGCCCCTCTTCCCCTGGCTCTTTGGAGGAATGGGGAGTGAGCCTGGTAGCTCCCCGGGTTGCTGCGAGTGTCAAGCAATATTCTCATTGAGCCCAGAAAGGCAGCTAAAGTCAAAGGATAATGATTAAATGATTGACTTTGATATTGAAATGGTTTAAATTCTAGCAGAAAAGATTGTTGAAAGTCCAGATTTTTCCAAGGATGAGGACTACTTAGGAAAGGTTGGAATGTTAAACGGAGGCCGCAGAATTGACTACGTTCTTCAAGAAAAGCCAATTGAGAGTTTTAATGAGTATCTTTTTGCTCTTCAGAGTCACTTATGCTATTGGTAAGTATTCTTAACTAAAGTAACATTTGAGTGGTTTTTAGGTGCTAGCTAGCACGTGTACAGTTTCAGTGAGATTCTTTTACCCATACATCACGTGTTAATATTCATTTGAATTCTTCAAATATCCACAATCAGTATTTTTCCCCTTTAGTTTTCCACAAGATGGCAGTATGTCATCTGCTTTTGACCGAAGACCCTTGGTACTTACAAGCTTTTTGTAGGAATGCCTTTCCCAGTGGGAGTGGTGGGGATTTTGAAAAGCCCTTCTTTTCTATATCCCTGTCACCAAGGAGAATTGTAACACCACTGTTTTGGAGCTCATCGGTATCCACCCAGTTTTTAAGGGCAGCTGTGAGATTATACTGCCTTGTCACACTGAGATTATATTGCTGTCATTCACCGTTCTTAGAGTTGAATAGAACAAAAGCTGCATTTTCTACCTTTGTACTTAGAGGCTTATTTCTACTAATTGGCTGTTAAGTAAATGTGCTGTTTTTATTTTTTTTCTTTCTCTTTTTTATAGGGAATCTGAAGATACTGCCTTATTATTACTTAAGGAAATTTATCGAACAATGAACATTAGTCCAGAGCAGGCCCAGCATTGATCAGATTTCGATTTTACTCTGTGAGTTTTTTCTTACTGTATGTATGATGTATAAATTCTGAGTGTTTGCATTCCTAGGTCTTTTGTATGGAGTTGATGTTGAGTATGATTTTCTCTTTGCTCTGTTTCCTCTGAGTAGTTTTGTTTTCTCTTTTTATTTATTTATTTATTTATTTATTGAGACGGAGCCTCAAGCTGTCCCCCGGGGTAGAGTGCCATGGCATCACGCTCACAGCAACCTCCAACTCCTGGGCTCAAGCGAGTCTCCTGCCTCAGCCTCCCAAGTAGCTAGGACTACA